GTTGCCTCATATTTCTATTGCACAGCCCAGACTTTTTTTGACCATCAAGAGAGGGTTTTACAGCACAAGTCCTGCAAGACCACTGAGTTTTCCGCAGCTTTACAGGCAGATGAACTGTTCCAACACTACAAATCACTTCAGGTGGCACTATGTTGGGAGTTACTCAAGTGCCTTTGGCAAGGTCCTTTCCCGTCTCTGAGCTGCCCACTGCCCCTTCTCTGGCTTGCCAGCCACCCCTTATGCACACGCTGAGGTTCTCCTGCAATTCCTACATGTATCTGAGAGTCTCACACAATGCTTTCTTCCCCTGCTGGCGCAGTAACAATGTTACTGTCATTCAAAACCCTGCTGTGGTTTTCCCTACAAAAAATGCTACAAGTATTGCTTTAAAAAAAAAAAAAAAAAACCAAGCGGTTTCTATACCCCAGGCACAGCTTTTACCAGGAAAAGCAAACAACCCCAGTTACAATCAGGAACCTCCCTTCATCCCTCAGTCAGCCCAGTAAACCTGACTGCACTGGTTTCTTTTCCCAGACATGCTAGCCCACGTGCTAGGCTAAGAGAATCAGCTCTCTAGCAGAAATTTCCAGACAGAAGACAAGAGAACCTATACATCTGTTACCATAGCTCTGATAACCAATGCAGGGAAAGCCTGCACTCCACACTGGAGAGTTCCTGGACTCCAGTCATGACTCTAGTTATAATTCTAGTTTTCTGCTGATGTGCACTCTAAGAGGCAACAAGCCTCTTTTGAAGTCACTGGGCCCTGGTCACCCAGGTGGGAGACCCAGCTTGAGTTTTGGGCTCCTAGCTTCAGCCAGTCCTGGCTGCTATGGGCATTTGGGAAGTGAAATCGGTAGATGGACTCATCTCTATTCTGCTTATTTTTCAAATACAAACAACAAACAAGCAAGATGGTGCCAGGAGGACTGTTGGAAACCTTAACGCCATCAGCCACCCTTGAAGAGTCAAGGGGCAAAATCAGACCCTCAGAATCCCACCTTTCTTTAGGCAACATATACATTGTATCCACAGCAAGACTTGAGAGCAGCCTGCCCCCTTGGGCTTTGACAGTGGAACTGGATTCAAATCTCCCTTCCGCCCCTCTGTGACTCCAGGACCCTGGATGAGATTGCTTGAGTTCTGGGAGTCTTCATTCACTCCTCTGCAACACTGAGACAATTCCACCTGTTTACAGAGACTTTGCAAAGTTGAAATCAAATAACGGATAACTAGGAGTCTGGCCTATGGTGGGTGTTAAGTATTCACTTTATTCTCCTTCTTCATCCTTTAACCATAGTAATTGGACAAGAAAGTACTAAAAGTATCCAGACAAAGTGATGCTAAATCCTCTCTACAGTGATCTGGTTTGAATTGCTCACAATCTGAATCTTGGTGTGTGCTGCAGTTTTTAACTCTGCTGTAGGCACTCTGTGAAGACAGAGGTTAACCTCTGCAGCCCCAGGCCAGAGCTGGGCAACAGGCAGGCGCTTGGCGAAGGCCTGTGAATCAGTGTATGCTGCATCTAATGCAGAGGTCAGTGTCTGGCAAGTCATGTAAGAGAGCTTCCAAGTGGCATGTCGGGGAGCAAGCTTTGTGGTATAGTGGGTTAAGCTGCCTTTTGGGGGACAGGCATCCCAAATTGGAGTCCCTGGGATCCAGCCTCTGCTTCCAATCCACCTTCACGGTCAGGCGCACCTGGGAGGCAGCAGAGGCAGCAGATGATGGCCCAAGTTCTTGGGATTCTGCTCAGACTGAGTGGTAGGCCCTTGTGGGCAACTGGGGAGTGAACCAGCAAATGCAAAATTTCTCTCCATCTTTCCCTCTCTTTCTGCCTTTCAAATAAATACATTCTAAAAAGAAGAAGACGGGGAAAAAAAAAAAGGAATAGCTCAGGATTAGCAGAATCATCTGCATGGAGCAGGTGGAGCTTGGCCGTGAGAGGTGACAGCGCAGCACGGCAGCTGATGTCTGCTTACACACCTCGTGCTGTCTTTTTTTTTTTTTTCCCCTAAGCCCCAAAGCTTAAAACACTGTTAATTTTTCTCTTTTCTTCAGCCCTACTTTACTAGAGGAAAGAGCCCATGGCACATGCAGAAAAGCAAACAGCCCTCTCAACATGAGGAAGCATAAACAATGCAGTTTTTATAATGTTTAACTTAGCCCAGAAGCCGACGCCTAAAAGATCAAATGAAATAGATGTCTCTCCCCGCTGTCAGAGGCAAACAGAAAATTCTTGGTGTTCCTGACCTTGTTGGGAGGCGGTGGTAAGAGGATGAATAATTACTCCCATTACATTTTCGGGTTGTATCTAGTATTAAATGCCCACCTGGAATGTGATTAATTGTGCTTTAGGGTAAACACTCAAATGGTTTGGGTAGTCTTTCTTGAGGGTACCAAGCCACCTGAGCAGGACTGTGGTGACCTCATCCAAGTCCTATTCTGCTGCTCCTGGGCCATGTGACCTTCCAGAAAGGTGAAAGTTCGCATCCTTTATCCTCCCATTTCACCTTCCTATAAAGAAAAAAGTCCAATGCAATGGAGATCTTTAAAAAACCCACCGCCAGGGGCTGGCAGAATGGTCTAATGGCTAAAGTCCTCGCCTTGAACGCCCGGGATCCCATATGGGCGCCGGTTCTAATCCCGGCAGCTCCACTTCCCATCCAGCTCCCTGCTTGTGGCCTGGGAAAGCAGTCGAGGACAGCCCAAGGCTTTGGGACCCTGCACCTGTGTGGGATGCCTGGAAGAAGTTCCTGGATCCTGGCTTCGGATCGGCATAGCACTGGCTGTTGCACTCACTTGGGGAGTGAATCATTGGACGGAAGATCTTCCTCTCTGTCTCTCCTCCTCTCTGTATATCTGACTTTCCAATAAATAAATAAATCTTTAAAAAAAAAAAAAAACCCACCGCCACTCACTGGGGATGAGAGGGTGAGAAACGTCCTCAATTACTGCTTGTAAGTCGTCCTGAACCCAGGCTTTAAATCAACAAAAATCTTCAAAATATTCCAATCTGCAGCTTTGGGCAGGAGATTGCTGGTCATTTGTTTATGTGCTAAAGGTGGACTCTGCTCTCACTGATGACACGTACTATTAGCAGGTGACAGAACTCACCAGCAGAGGGAAATTTAGCTACAGTTACCATCCTGGTGGTGAAGAGGAACAGAATCGAAATCCACCTGCAGACAAGTTTTGGGAAATGAACAGGTGCAAGCAAACAGGCCTATGAGAAGCAAGGGACACCAGTCTTGGGAAACCTGCAGCCAAGAAGTGCATGTGCTTGGGGGAAAAAATGAGAGTCAGAAGCAGCAGTCCAGAATCCCAGAAAGAAAGACCTCAGGAAGCTATCCTTCAGGTAGGGAGTCATTTGCATAACTTGTCTGGATCAGAGCTCCATGGAGATGCAAGGTGTAAATTCTCCTTCCAAAAAGAAGGAGAGGGAAGGGATTAAGAATTTGAGCTAAATGGTGGCCCGGCAGCGTGGCCTAGCGGCTAAAGTCCTTGCCTTGAATGAGCCGGGATCCCATATGGGCGCCGGTTCTAATCCCAGCAGCTCCACTTCCCATCCAGCTCCCTGCTTGTGGCCTGGGAAAGCAGTCGAGGATGGCCCATGTGGGAGACCTGGAGGAAGTTCCTGGCTCCTGGCTTCAGATCGGCGCAGTACCGGCAATTGTGCTCACTTGGGGTAGTGAATTATTGGACGGAAAATCTTCCTCTCTGTCTCTCCTCCTCTCCGTATATCTGACTTTGTAATAAAAACAAATAAATCTTTTTTTTAAAAAAGAATTTGAGCTAAATGAGGCAGGTGTTTGGTGCAGCAGTGGGGACACCAGGTGGAACACCCATGCTCCATAACACAGCACTGGGTCCTAGCTCCTGGCTAGCGCACACCCTGGGAGGCAGCACTGGTGGCTCAGGTAGTTGAGTCCCCACCACCCACATGCCAGACTGGGATGGAGTTTCTGGTTCCTGGCTGCAGTCTGTTGCAGTCCTGGGTGGGCATGTGGGAAGTGCAGTCCTGGGAAGTGAGTTAGTGGATGGCACTCTCTTGCTGTCTTTCAAAATAATTTGTTTTAGAAAGAAAAAAAAAAATAGAAGCTGCTTATAACAGAGCAGCTGTATCTGGAAATACAGAGTGAGATTTCTAACCCATCTCGCTAAACTCAGCTCTAAACCCCAGGGCAGGAGTGTGCAGGAGGCAGGCACAGTGTGGAACAACACCAGACCTGGCTTTGCAGCCCTGGATGGCGTACGAGAGATGACACTCTTAACTCTAGGAAAGCTGCTTGGTCCAGCTAAAAACACCTGCCAGATTCCGATGACACCAGAAGGATCCAGTGCACTGGGCTGCTGGCTGACAGCGGCGCTCCTGAAGTTGGGGACCTACACTGTGGCTCAGGGCATTAAGCCACTGCCTAGGACAACCCAATCCACATCGGAGAGCCTGGATGGAGTCTGGCTACTTCCCTTCTATTGCAGCTTCCTGCTAATCCACCTGCAAGGCAGCAGGTGATGTTCCCTGAGTACTGGGGTCCCTGCCACCCGATGGAAGACCCCAATAGATTTCCAGGCTCCTGCCTCAGTCTCCCAGGGCTGGCTGTGGTGGGCATTTGAGGAGGGAAGCAGTGGTTGGGAGATAGCGTGCTCTTGTGCTCCTTCTCTCTACGCCCTTTGGGCAGATTGAATGCAAACATTCTTTAATAAGGCCTAGGCTGGTGGCCTGATACAGGTGACGGCTGACACGGCCACAGCAGAGCATGTTCAAGAAGATTGTTCTCTGCTGCGGAAGACTTTAGAAATGCTATCCTGTACTGGCTCCCCACTGACTTGGCCGTGTCCCCAGTCACAGCCACCCAATCACACTGGCAGTCACAGGCAGGCATCATGTCACCAGGAGTCACAAAGGCTGCGGCAAAGTGGCACCCAGATACAAGGTAACACACCCCTCCCGCCCAGCCCCAACAGGGCAAGCTGCCCATCCCCTCTGAAGGACAACTCACCTGATTGCCAAAGACAGCCACGGAGCAGGCTGTGGAAACCTCGTTGGCCCCGAACCAGACGGAAGCGATGCGTGACGGCATGCCCAGGATGAAGACTTGCGCCACTGAGCAGATTACCTGGCCCAGCATGGTGACCGGGAAGAGGTGCGGTTGCAGGCTGCCCAGCTTCACCCAGGCGCCCAGGCAGTTGAGGGCCGAGCCCATGAGCGCTATGGTGCGCAGGCCGAACTTCTCCAGCAGCCAGGCCACGGGCAGCAGCAGCGGGATGTAGGCCAGCATGTAGCACATGGACAGCCAGTCGATAGCAAAGGCGCTGACGCCGTAGAAGTGCATGAAGATGTTACTGATGGAGCTGTACTGGATCCACTGGAAGGCGTTGCACATGGAGTAGCAGCTGAACACCAGCACCACCGCCCAGCGGCGCCGGCTCACCTTGATCACGCTCAGGTCCACGGGACCCGAACTGCTCAGGTTGGCCAGGCTGCCCGGCGGGGCCAAGGTACTGGGATGGGCAGAGACGCTGGGGTGCACGGACACGCTGGGGTGGATGGAGACGCTGGGGTGGACAGACACGCTGGGGTGCACAGACACGCTGGGGTGGATGGACACAGTAGGCTCCACCGAGACACTGGGGTGTACCGACACCCTGGGCTCCAAGGAGATGCTGGGCTCCACAGAGGCGCTAGGTTCCGCGGAAGTGCCAGGCTCCATGGATTCCTGCGCCGTAGTGTCACCCTGTTCCTCCTGACTGGGGTCCTCGTTCACCATGGTTGTGGCTTCTCTCGTGCCCCGGACGGGCAGCGCTTACTTCGGCAGTCTTAGAGTGATAGTGAGTAACCTTTTGCTGGTCTCCGATCGGGGGCCGACGACGTTGAACACTGGTCCACAAGCGTTCCCAGAAGAAAAGGGGACGCGAGACTTGTTGCGCTCAGCCCTGAGCGCCTTGCGGACAGCTGCCGAACGCGGACACCACAGAAGCCTCGGCGCGCTCCGGGCCGGATTGAGGCGCAACCCAGCCCAGCTCCTGGCCGGCTCCGGGCCTCGCCCCTCGGGCGCACGTGACCGCCCCGCCCCTCACGTCCCGCTTACCCCCCACCCCCGGCGACGCCTTCCCCAGTCGCCTCTCCCGACTTGTCCAGCCTTGCCCCGCGGGGACAGTACAGTTGTTTCGCCACCAATTGCGGGTGCATTCCTGCCCCACGCCCTGGGCGCCATGGAAACCGTCCAGTTAACTCCCCACCCCCTGCAATATCGCTCAAATTCATTCGCGTCCTTCCATACCCCCACCTTACTTAGGGACCCCCTCAGGAAGACACACACCCCCACCCAGCACTCTGCCCTCTCGAAATCGGTCTTGCCCAGGGCATCTCCTCCCGGCCGGGCCGTCCGATCTCCGGTGATAGCCCGTGCTCGGGCGCAGATGCTCGGCGCCCCCAGGGAGCTGCAGCGAGTCCTGCCTCTCGCCTGGCTGAGCATTTTCGGCACACAGAGGGTTGTAAGCGTGTCGGTCCGCTCGGGCTTTCGAGTTGTAGGAGCAACGGGAAACTTGTGTTTCCGCCGCTGTCTTGGCTAGACGTGGTCTCGCCTCAGGGGAACTCGTGTTTAAATTTGGGGAATTGGCTTGCAGTCCCGACAGATGCCAGGCAGCCGCCACTGCGAGAACCTGGAGTGGAAGAAAGGCAAGTTCAGGGGCGTAAGAACTCAGAGGCGGCTGGCTGTGCCGGGCACCCCGCTGGTAGAGCGCCTGCAGCAGGCTTGGTCTCCGAGGTGCGGTGTGCACACAGCCGGCTCGCGGCCACCCCCTGGCGGTGCCAGCGCGGGCCAGAGGGTGAGCCAGATGCAAAACTAGGTGGCCTGGTCCAGAGGTGGCCCAAGAGTTCCCTCCTGTGATGAGAGATCATGAAACAATAACATCCACCTTGCCATGCGTTTTCTGAGGCTGAACTGAGTTAATACAGGAAACCCTAGGAAGCAACGGACAAGATTCAGCGTCCAGTGAGCATTGGCTGTTAACGGAAAGCTACCTTTTTCTGGTCTGTGAGAAACGTGCGGAATGCGCAGTTTAGGTGTGAGGGGCCTGGCGGGGAAGCGCCATTTAGCGCCCTTCACAGCCAGCCCCTCCACAACCCACGGCCGCGCAGCCTTAGATTTAGGTTATTACAGATCCTCCTGGAAGAATGAACCAACAAATGAAAGCTCGTACATGCATGCTATGGGTATGTGACATTCATATAAATCTGGGAAATGGTTACGCTTTGAAAAAATTTTATCTGGGCTCTAGCGAGATAGCGTGGGGGTTAAAGTCCTCGCCTTGAAAGCACCGGGATCCCATATGGGCGCCATTCCTAATCCTGGCAGCCCAGCTTCCCATCCAGCTCCTTGCCTGTGGCCTGGGAAAGCAGTCAAGGACGGCCCAAAGCTTTGGGACCCTGCACCCACTTGGGAGACCCAGAAGAAACTCTAGGCTCCTGACTTCGGATTGGCTCAGCTCCAGCCGTTGTGGCCACTTAGGGAGTGAATCATCAGATGGAAAACCTTCCTATCTCTCCTCCTCTCTGTATATCTGCTTTCCAATAAAATTAAATAAACCTTTTTTTAAAAAAAGAAATAAGTAAATTTGAGGAAAATTCATTTTAAAATGTTTATTTTTATTGGAAAGGCAGATTTACAGAGGAGGTACAGAGAAAGATCTTCCATCCATGGGTTCACTGTCCAAGTGGCTGCAATTACTGGAGCTGAGACAATTCAAAGCCAGGATCCAGGAGCGTCTTCAGGGTCTCCATGTGGGTGCAGAGACCTGCTGTGCCTTGGTAGAAAGCTGGAGTGAGAAGCCAGAGCCAGGGATCAAACCCAAGCAACTCAATGTGGGGCGTCAGTATCTGTTAGGCCAGACGCCTGTTCAGTACTACTTCCTTCCACGTATTTTGTATAGTCCACCAACCAACACTTGGGTTGTTTCCACCTTTCAGCTGTTACAAATTGTGTTGCCAACAAGAGTGACCATACCCACTTGCATTGATTTGGGGTACACAAACTCAGAAGCGGGTGCACACACTCAGGAGCACGAATTGGACATCAAACTCAGTCCTCCCATATGGGACAAGGGCATCTTAACTGGCAACTCAACACCTGAGCTCAACACTTACTCATCCTATGTTATACACTTAGCTGCACTTTACAAAACTGAGGCCCAGGGCAGGTGCATATCTCCGTCTTGGGGCGGAAGCTCCTGTGGACAGCACAGCACAGGCTCTCTACCCATTAGTATGTGACTCTTCAGAGCCAGCACTCCATTTTGTCACACAGTCCTTGGCGTTGCTTTTCTTGGTTGACAAAGTCACATTTGTCATGAGTCTGCTGATTGAAGGCTCAAGTTATTCAGTCTGTCCTGTGAGGATTAAAACAGCTGCCCCAAGAGGTTGTTGTGGGAATCACATACAGAATACTGTGCACACGTTTCCGTAATAATGACAGCTTTCTGGCAGCCTCCAGGCCAGTGGCAGCTCTAGCCTGCTTCCCACCAGACAGCTGAGTAAGTGTTGGACGGACATATTCTAGCGAGAAACCTCTTGCGTTCATCTATTGGAAAAATATTTATGGAGCAGTGTACAATCCACTGTATCTATATGTTCAGTCTCTAGAGACCAATAAGTATACCTTGAAGGTGAAAGGGAGTTGCAATTTAGAGATTGTTTCCGGAAAGGGGACTCTGGTCCTTAATGCTAACCACACTGACCTCCCAGGGAACAGCAGGAAACCTCCGGTACGGAACATCCGGTCCCTGTGAATGGTTGCGACACTTGTTCCCTGCAGGCCAACAGTGGAACTTGAAATCCATCTCTCTCTCGTCACGCCACCTCCAGTGGCGCCTGCGTGAGAAATCACCGGGCCGAGGCGGAAGCTTCAAGGAAGGATGCCTCCTGGATTTGGCTGCATCTCTAGTGGTCTTGGCGTTCCTGGCTGTACTCTCTTTGCTCTTATCTTTATGGCTGGAATAATACTACTTATGTGCGGCAAAGGCTCAATGTTCCTTTATAGTTCTATGAAGACTTCTGACAGGAGACTGGACGAGGATAGCAAGCATTATGAGATAAAAACGATCAAGAAGATTATAGTAGAGATCTATAGCTTAAAAAGCCATATAAGAAGAAAAACTAAGAAATGTAGACAAGTTAATATTAAAACCAATGTAAGGCACAAAACACAATGAGAGCTAACCGCTTAATGATGAAACTGCAGCTGGTGCCAAACCGCGTCCACAAGAAATACCAACCGCAGTCTGTCACCAGGCTGTTAGAGAACAATCTTTGCTCAACAAACCCGCTTACCTCCCTGGAATAATTGCTTATATAAATGTAACTACATGAATAAGCAAAGAAAATGTCCTTTTGCAATCATCTATTGCATATAAGCTGATGCCTTGCTTTTGGAAAAGGCACTCAGATACAACTGCCTTGTCACTTACCGAATCCTTGCCCACTGTTCCCAGGGTCCTGTCCCCGTCAGACTGCTTGCTCCCAGCCAAGGCGGTCCATCTCTCTCTTTCTCTCTCTCTCTTTCTCTCTCTCTCTCTCACACACACACACACACTCACTGATAGCATACAGTTGTAGATATGAGAGTCCTGGAGTTTGGTGGTGAGTGCAGGGGAAGGTTAATTTCCAATAAAATTAATTATTTGAGATGCTAAGTTATTAACCCTCAGAAAATCCCGCTGCCTGGAATTTGTGAAACGCTTGTCTATGCCAGCTCTGCGGATGTAGTTTAGGTGTGTGATGCTGCATGCTCACCAATGTTTTATCTGCCTCTGTCCATGCTTCCCATGCATTTCCAACTGTGTTAAGATTCAAATATATCTCTGTATATCCTGGAACATGTAGCAAAATGAACTGTATAGCACATGCTTAAAATACGTATCTGCAGAATCGGGCAGATCACACATGGAATTTCAGAAGATTGAGGACAAAGAGGGGCTTACAGAAACAAAACAAAACAAAACAAAAAACAAGCTTCTCTCAAAAATCTTCAAGCAGAACAACACAGGTTCCAAATGTCATGAGAGTTATCAGGCCAGTGAAACAATGCCTTCTATTTAAAGAAAAATATTTCCTGCCTGGAACATTATACCCAAACCACCCAAGAAATAAATGGGTGAGAAGAAACATATTCAAAAGTGTAGGGTTTCAAGAGAGGTACTGCCCTATCCTTTCAGGAAACTGTTCAAGGATGTGCTCCAGCGAAACAAAGCAGAAAACCTATAAGGATTTACAATGAAGATCAAAGGGGACGGGGAATCCAATACAGCAGAGGCAATGGGAGTCGCCACCTGAAGAAAAATCCCAGGAGCTCAACGGGGAGAACACGGAGAGCAGTCAGTGCGGGAGCAGGCATTGTGGTACAAGCTATCAAACCACTGCTTGGAATGTCTACAATCCATGTCGGAGTCCTGGCTATTCTGCTTCCAACCCAGCTCCATGCTAATGCAGCTGAGCAGCAGATTGGAAGCCTGGATGAAGTTCCTGGTTCCCGGCTTCAGCTTGGTCCAACTCTGGCTGTTGCAGCCCTTGGGAAAGTGAACAAGTGAACAGGAGCTATGTCTCTCTGTCACTCTGCCTTTCAAACAAAAGTAAATCTAAAAGCATCCCATAGAGTTTCCAAATGCAAATGAATTTATTTGAAAATTACTGCTTCAGCAGAGCTGGAAGGTGCTGTCTAGCTTTCAAGGGTATGGTCACTCTTGTTAGATTTGATATATCGAAGCCAACCTGCACCCCCAAGACCTCAACCCTGGGCCCTTGGGGATGTCTCCAGCCAGCCCTGTCCCACACCCTGGCTTTGTTTGACCGTCCTCTGACCTTCATTTGCTGCCAGTGCCTTTGACACTTGCCGATTCTGCAGGTGCTTACCCGCCAGCCTCTCAGATCCA